TTGATGCCCACTGTTTTCCACCATATGGAAATGTCCTCACTAGTAGAGTCCAAATCAAGGCCTTTTCTAGTGAGTTTATACAGTACAGGCTCAACATTTTCAGTCCATAATGTAAACAGATCATATTCGTTATAAGTATTCCACTCCATTTTGGAGGACATTTACTTGGATTTCACAGTGAGATGATTACTTGGATTATTCTGTTACTTCTAATTCCTGTTTCATACAATTCATGCAAATGGAGACTTTCCCTACTAAGCCATGAAGCAATGAAAACAGACTTACCCACTCTGTGGTTAGAAGTTCAGCTTTAAGCCATTCAGAAGAGTTCTTATTCTGATGACCATCGTGTGTCCAAGAGTAAAATAATCCATTTCCAGGATAAGCAAGATTAGATAAGATTAAAACTCGCCAAAATTATATCGCGTCGGGTTCGCCAAATTGTAAGGCTTGAAACTTACGCTGCTATTCTGAACCAATAATCGGAAACAGGAAGCAGCTGAAGGATGGCGTGTTTAAATCCATTATTTATCTGACTCCATTGTAATTAATCTTACTCCATTAAAGTTGTTATCATCATTGATAAAGAGAAAGAATCTCTACGTCTTAAAGCAGGCAAAGTTGTTTATTAAGTTACATGTTTAAATATACAGACATTAGAATGAAACAAACTAACATACTGTATAAAGAAATTAGCTGTAACGTATGCACTGCTGAGCAACAAAGACAGTGAAACTGCCTTTGTTAGCATATGAGGCTACGCACCAGTGTGCGGGAGATGCAGAGTAAAAGCCATTCTCCCAGATCAACAGTTACCTTTCTTTCTTATACCCTGAGCAAAGCATTGTCAAACATGAGTGAAAACCAACCCCCAAAACCAGCTGAACATGAGAACAAAGTTGAAGAGATGAAGTGGGGGAGAAGTTCATTAACATACTCTCCTCAGGCCATGACCCAACAATAGTAAATATATTGTAGATTGAAATACAATTAATTAATGTCTCTGTTGATTTCATCATTACAACACTGAAGTCATAAACTGTCAAATGACACCAAACATGACAAAGTTATCTGAAGGAAGAACACAAGCAGATGAATTGTATGGTGAAGAGCACATGGTTACTGTAAGCAAATGGCAGAGATGTGTATCGGAGCTGTGAGGAACTCTGCCTCACCAGGAGGACCCCTCCCATGCTTGGAATGTCTCAGTAGTCCTTCATTAGCATAGAAGGAAATATATATCATATTTTCTCAGCTTACACAGATAACACTGTAAACTGACTTATTTGCAAGAGTGGGATAATTTTTCTGAAGAATGGCAGGCAGTTTAACTAATCTGGACAAACAATAGGCTCAACTATCACAAAACAATAACAGATAACAAAAGTTCACGCGAACTTTTACTATTAAAGTATTATTTTTATGTCTTGAGGACTATGTAAACATGTGTTATGTGATAGCTTAAGTGGCACATAACTAAAGAATGTAATCCTATGCCTCCTCTCATATTGACGAAATCTTAACAATCTAGTTTATTCTGCAAAAGTAATTTAAATGGTTATTTTCCCTTTAGTATTTATTGTTATTTAGACCTATGTTCTTTACACTTAACAGCATAAGACTGAAACTGTATTAGTATTAGTAATGTATTAGTAAGTATTAGATGTTGAACCACTACATAAACCAATAGGAACATATTGCAGTGCTACCATGGTTTCAGAACTGCAAAATTTAAAAGTTAAATTTCCAGAAGTACAAGATCTCTGTTTTTTAGATACTAGCAGTAAAGAATCCTGAAATGTGTGAGCCCCTGTTAAAAGAACACCAACATGAGCATCTCAGTCTTTGAGAGCAGAGAATTGTCAATAAATAAATAAATAAATAAATAAGGTTCATGAGAAGCAATATATAACATTGTGAAAAGTTCCAGAATTGTCAGACTACGTTTACACAACAACAAACATTAGTAGCGTTGTTTGTTTTTGCACTCCCCTAACCATGTAATATGCACAAGCATAATGTCATTATTGTCAAAGATTTTTTATTTTATTTTTTTATTTTATTTTAAGTTTACATGACCATGCAATGGCATAATTTTTAATATAATACAGTATATATATATATATATATATATATATATATATATATATATATATATATATATATATATATATATATAGTTTTCAGTCTTAAAAATTATGTTTCCATGTAAATGAACAGTCCGTGTAAATGAACAGTTAAACAAAAATGTTTAATGATTTTGGCTGAAAATGTTGTCATGGAAACAGCCCCTCACTCTGTATAGAGTAAGACTGAAAACTTTAGCTGAATGTGCTCAACATTTAAGTACTCCATTGGCATTGGCATTGCATAAGAAAGTGTCATGCTGTGGTGTTAAATGAAGGGACACACTTTGGAACACAGAACCCAGAAAGTTCTACATCAGTTCAAATCATCACGATTTCAGCCATGAGGAAATAACTTTTCCTCACTCTTTGACTTTTTGCTACTCACACTTTTTCCACCACTGCTTTTGGAGGACTTTTCTTAAGTGTGCTGCATATTGAGAAGGCCAACCTCTGTAAGAACCTTGTATGTGATGCTTTTAATTTATTTTAAATCTGTGTGTCTAGACTTTTCTAATTTATTTTCATGGGCAGTAAAACAGCAAGTTGATTTTAGACTTCCTTCTGGAATTAATGCATGTTGACAGATTATTAAAGACTGAATGGCCAGATTTCACTAAGTCATTTTTTGTTGAAACAATTACTGTCATGGTTTTTTTTTTCTTGGAATGACTTAACTTAAAGTGCTGTAAAAATTTTGAGGGGAATTTTTTTTTTTTAATGTACTTTATGATATGTTGCTATATGGCTACTGCGCCACTGCTTCGCCCATTTAAATATTTTCTCCAGTAAATATTATAACAAATAAATAATAAGTCTAGTATATCCAGAAGCATCAGAATACTGTAGATACTAGCAAACAATATGTACATATTATACTATATACTATACTACACTTGTCTTATCTGCCTCAGAGCAAACTTACTTGAACTGTCTCCATCACTGCTCTTATCAAATGTCCAATCTGCATAATTCTCATGGTCACTAAAACCCATCTCATCCTCACTTTCATCTGCAGCAAGAGCCAGTTCTGTCCTTTTCTTCTTTCACTTAACATAGAACATGCCCAGGTAGCAAAGAATTCTGGCCCAGATTTATCATAAATCTGGCACAGCAGGCATTCATCTGGCACTGGCATACAGCATATGGGCCAAACATGGCCCAGGTTTGGCAGAGGTGCACCGTCGTTAAGGTGGTATGCAAGACATGGGCCAAAATGTCAAATGTAGTATTTGGCCCAGATATTACAAATGTATATGTGGGCCGCTATATTTGGTCTATCTTGACCCACAATAAAATCCTGTTATTTATTTAAAGCAATTAAGAGTAAAGAAATATTTTAATTAATTCATTCATTCATTTTTATGTCGGCTTAGTCCCTTTATTAATCCGAGGTCACCACAGCGGAATGAACCGCCAACTTATCCAGGTTTTTTTTACGCAGCGGATGCCCTTCCAGCCACAACCCATCTCTGGGAAACATTCACACACACACACACACACACTACAGACAATTTAGCCTACTCAATTCACCTGTACCACATGTCTTAGGACTGTGAGGGAAACCGGAGCACCCAGAGGAAACACACCCGAATGCAGGTAGAACATGCAAACTCGACACAGAAACGCCAACTGACCCAGCCTAGGCTCGAATCAGCGACCTTCTTGTTGTTAAATACACAACTAGATTGACGTTATGACATACCATTGTAAGTCTCATTTTATTTAATGCTCAGAATCTATGACTTGAAGGGAGACAAATCATACACAGTTTTATTCAGTATCTACTCTATTAATCTTTCCAGCAAACAATGAGCTGGTGGACTCCCTGTATTTTTTGGAACAATTTCAGCAACTTGATATAAGCAGACCACCATTGGAAAACCTTCTTGGGTGGCACAACCGCAGTGGCTTAATAGGAGTGGAGCTAAAATTTGCTGTTGGTCAGCAGGAATAATGAGCAACAAGGTTGAGCAGAATCCGCCTGTTGATTGGTGGTCCACCAGACGCCCATTTGTCTTGTGTTGCGTAAACACACACACACACTGTGGTGGGGAAGGCGTGATCGAACACCCAGAAAGGGGGGAGAGCAGGCGGAGACACCGGCGGCTGGTCAGTGGTCTAATCATAAATAATTATTAACACCTGTGTTTTCTAGTGATTGGGCCGGAGAGACACCTTCATAAGGGGAGGAGAAGGAGAAGCCGGGAGAGAGGAGAGCCTGTCGAACTTCAGTCTCGACACGCACACACATACACAGAACATTATAAATAAAAATTGTGCTTACCTGATATCGCCGACCCTGCCTTCTTCTTCCCACGAAACGAACGTTATTACAGTGGTGCCGAAACCCGGGAAGAAGAGGAGACTTCGCTGCCAAGATGACCACTCCGTCAGCTACTCCATTCGCGGAAGTGATCCAGGCGCTCGCGGTCCTCCATCGCGAACAACATGAGGCGCTGGTGGAGATCCGGGCGGACCAGGACCAGCGGTTCCGTGCTTTGGTGGAGGCCCAGCGCGAGGACCGCGAGCTCGTCCGGAGACTGCTGGACCAGGGGATCCGGCCCGCGTCGACATCTGCCGCCCACCCTCCCATCTCCCTTCAGAAAATGGGGCCTCAGGACGACCCGGAGGTATTTCTGGACCTCTTCGAGAAAATGGCGGAGGCGTGTGGCTGGCCACGGGCCGAGTGGCCGGTGAGAATCATCCCGCTGCTGTCAGGCGAAGCCCAGATCGCGGCGCAGCAGCTACCGGCCCAGAATCTCCTGGACTATGCTCACCTGAAGCGAGCCATTCTCCAACGGGCCGGCCGCAACCCGGAAGAACAACGCCAGCGGTTCCGGTCCCTGGAGCTGAGAGAGAGCGGCCGGCCCTTCGTGTTCGCCCAGCAGCTCCGCGACGCCTGCCGCAGATGGCTGATCCCGGATGGCCAGAACATCGACCAGGTGGTGGACTCAGTGGTGCTGGAGCAATTCATCGCCCGCCTCCCCTCCCGAACATCGGAGTGGGTCCAGTGCCACCGATCTTGAGACGGCCATCCAGTTGGCGGAGGACCACCTGGTAGCGAGGTCCAGGGTCGGCGATACAACCTCTCTCTCCTCTCTCTCTCTTTCTTCTTCTCTTTCTCTCCCCTCTCCCAGACCCAGACAGCAGGGACCTCCTGTGCCAGCGCCGAGGAAGCGGGGCTCTGGGGCGGATACCTCTCGCTCGATGCCTCGGTGGGGGGGATATCCGGAAAGGGGTGGGGAAGCACGCCCTCTAGTGGTTTCTCCAGCCACAACAGGTTTCTCTCCGGCTCAATCGGTTGGACCAACTGGCCCCGGGGGTGCAGTGGTGAGGTCTGGGCCGACGTGTTGGCGGTGCGGGGGCGTGGATCATAGCCCCGAGAATTGCTCCGCGATGGAGGTGGGGGCTTTGATCCGCGTACCCGACGCCCCGGCTGTCGCCCCCGGTCGCAATGGGCTATATCAGATACCGGTGAGTATAAAGGGGGATAAATATCAGGCCTTGGTGGATTCAGGGTGTAACCAAACCTCTATCCACCCATGCCTGATGCAAGACACGGCATTGGATAAAAGCCGCACGGTTAGGGTGAGGTGTGTGCACGGTGATGAAATTCACTACCCGCTAGCGGCCGTAGAGATCCAATTTCGGGGTCAAAAACATAGCGTAGAGGTAGCGGTTAACCCGCACCTCAAGCATCCGCTGATTTTGGGAACAAATTGGCCTGATTTTAATAAACTATTAGGGGTTTTGACAGCGGGTGCCTCTTGGAGGAAAGGATCGACGGCTAGGGGGCGGATCGCTCAGCTGGGGGAATCTCCGGTGACGTCATCGCGCTCTGACTCAGAGGGAGGCCTGGGAATTTCCCGCTGTAAGGACTTCCCTCTGGAGCAGTCGCGTGATGACACGCTGAGAAATGCCATCGAGCAGGTAAAAGTGATCGATGGGCATGTCCTCCAGCCTGAGCGACCACTCAACTATCCCTATTTTGCGATCATTAAAGACAGGGTGTATCGAGTGACCCAAGACACTCAATCAAAAGAAGATACCACCCAATTATTGGTTCCTAAAAGCCGTCGGGAAATGCTTTTCCAGGCGGCTCATGCAAACCCTATGGCCGGACATTTAGGTCAAGCGGCCACACTAAATCGCCTCATGGCCCGTTTCTTTTGGCCGGGCATTCACGGAGACGTCAGCAGATGGTGCGCTGCGTGTCCTGAATGTCAGCTGGTAAATCCGCCGGCCACCCCAAAAGCGCCATTGCGCCCGTTACCATTAATGGAGATCCCCTTCGAAAGAATTGGTATGGATCTCATCGGGCCATTAGAGCGATCCGCACGCGGACACCGTTTTGCATTAGTCCTAGTGGATTATGCAACCCGGTATCCGGAAGCTGTAGCTCTCCGCAACATCTCCGCTAAGAGTGTTGCGGAGGCTCTCTTCCGCTTCATCTCCCGGGTGGGGATTCCCAAGGAAATCCTCACCGACCAAGGCACCGCGTTTATGTCACGCACTTTGCGCGAATTATACGAATTATTGGGCATTAAATCGATTCGGACTAGCGTCTATCACCCACAAACAGACGGACTGGTGGAACGGTTTAATCGCACACTTAAAGCAATGATTCGTAAATTCGTTCACGAAGACGCGAAAAATTGGGATAAATGGTTAGAGCCCTTGTTGTTCGCCGTGCGGGAGGTTCCCCAAGCCTCTACTGGGTTTTCCCCATTCGAGCTCCTCTACGGCAGACAGCCCCGAGGGGTGCTGGATGTCGTCAGAGAGGCTTGGGAGGACGAGCCTTCTAACAGCAAAAATGAAATTCAGTACATTCTGGACCTGCGAGCAAAACTCCATGCACTGGGGCGGCTATCCATGGAGAATTTGCTCAAGGCTCAGAATGAACAACGCCGGCGTTATGATAAGGGCACTAAACTACGAACATTTTCACCGGGAGATAAAGTGCTTGTACTGCTGCCTTCTTCTAGCTCTAAATTACTCGCCAAGTGGCAAGGGCCATTTGAGGTCACACGGCGAGTGAACGATCTCGATTATGAGGTGGTACGAACAGACAGGAGTGGGGCACGTCAAATTTATCATATTAATTTATTAAAACTATGGAGGGAGCCGGAGGACGTGGCGTTAGCAACGGTGATTACAGGCGAGGATGACCTGGGACCGGAGTGCGTAGACTGTAATCGGTCGAGTGCTCTGGTCGCCGGGGGTGATCATCTCTCGCTCGCCCAGCTAGCTGACGTCCAGCTCCTACAAAATGAATTTAAAGACGTGTTCTCACCCCTGCCCGGTCGCACTAATATGATTCAGCACCACATCGAGACCGAGCCAGGCGTGGTCGTTAGAACCCGCCCGTACCGTCTGCCTGAACACAAAAAAAAAGTGGTTCAGGAAGAATTGGGGAAAATGCTAGAGATGGGGGTAGTAGAAGAATCACACAGCGACTGGGCGAGCCCGATCGTCTTAGTTCCTAAGACAGACGGCACGGTCCGGTTCTGTGTAGATTATCGTAAATTAAATGCCGTATCAAAATTTGATGCGTATCCAATGCCGCGGATTGACGAGTTGCTCGACCGGTTAGGCGCTGCTCGCTTTTATTCGACATTGGATTTAACGAAAGGGTATTGGCAAATTCCCCTTTCTCCAATATCCCGAGAAAAAACTGCCTTCACAACGCCGTTTGGATTACACCAATTCGTGACACTTCCATTCGGGCTGTTCGGGGCTCCGGCGACGTTTCAGCGCCTGATGGACAAAATACTTGCCCGCCACTCAGCATATGCCGCTGCGTATTTGGATGATATCATTATCTTCAGTAATGACTGGCAGCGGCATATGCAGCACCTGCGGGCAGTATTATCAGCGCTGAGACGGGCAGGACTCACGGCCAACCCGAGGAAGTGTGCAATTGGGCGAGTGGAGGTAAGGTATCTGGGCTTCCACTTGGGTCATGGGCAGGTGCGGCCACAAATTGATAAAACCGCTGCTATTGCAACCTGCCCGAGGCCCAAGACCAAAAAGGAGGTGAGACAGTTTTTGGGGCTGGCGGGATATTATAGACGATTTGTTCCTGAATATTCGGCCCTCGTCAGTCCCTTAACCGATCTCACTAAAAAGGGGGAACCAGATACCGTCCAGTGGACGGAGCAGTGTCAACAGGCCTTCACCAAAGTTAAAGCTGCACTTTGCGGGGGGCCGCTATTACATGCTCCTAATTTTGCTCTCCCCTTTATTTTACAGACGGATGCGTCCGATCGGGGTTTGGGGGCGGTGCTCGCCCAGGAGGTGGAGGGTGAGGAACGGCCGGTGCTGTACATTAGCCGCAAATTATCTAACAGGGAGGCGAAGTACAGCACCATAGAAAAATAGTGTTTGGCGATCAGGTGGGCCGTCCTCACTCTCCGCTATTATCTCTTGGGCAAGGAGTTCGTCCTCTGTTCGGATCATGCCCCCCTCCAGTGGCTCCACCGCATGAAGGATACCAACGCGCGGATCACCCGTTGGTATCTCGCTTTACAGCCTTTCAAATTCAAAGTGATCCACAGGCCGGGCGCGCAGATGGTTGTAGCGGACTTCCTCTCCCGGGCGGGGGGAGGTGGGGGGAGCTGCAGGCCGGACGGCTGCCCGGCCTGAGACGGGCGGTGGGGGTATGTGGTGGGGAAGGCGTGATCGAACACCCAGAAAGGGGGGAGAGCAGGCGGAGACACCGGCGGCTGGTCAGTGGTCTAATCATAAATAATTATTAACACCTGTGTTTTCTAGTGATTGGGCCGGAGAGACACCTTCATAAGGGGAGGAGAAGGAGAAGCCGGGAGAGAGGAGAGCCTGTCGAACTTCAGTCTCGACACGCACACACATACACAGAACATTATAAATAAAAATTGTGCTTACCTGATATCGCCGACCCTGCCTTCTTCTTCCCACGAAACGAACGTTATTACACACACATTTGAGCTTTTATGTAAAAATGGTTTTGTGATGCCGTCATATGGCCACACAAGACTGAGGGTAACAGACACACACACACACACACAAACACACACACGCATTCACTCAGACACGTGCGCTTACACATACACGCACATTCGCTCAGACACCCACAAACACGCACATTCGCTCAGACCCAAACAATACTCTCCTGCTCCTTCACTAGCTGACAAGCGCGCACCTTGCTCAACTACACGCATACAAACAGGTTTACTTTGAATATGTCTTTTATATTATTTGTTTGTTTAATTTAAATCATTGTTTATTTTGAGTAATTATGTCTTGTATTTTGTAAGTGTCTTTTATTTAGAATTAGTTTGATTAGTAAATTATTATATTTATAATTGTTGTTTTATTGTTTCACCTATGTTGTTTAAGTGGATCCACCGTTTGTGTATAAATATTCTGTAGTTGTTTCATTTGGCAGGTCAGTTTGGTTGTGTTCAGACTTCCTGAATTTCTGTTATATTTTTGTTGGCCTCAATTTGTTTTCCAACTAGTTTTTATGTTGGATTATTATTTTAAGTTAAATAAATATTTTTTGGTCTTAATTTTCCTGTGTCCTCATGCCTTAATGCCGGGCTATCTCACAGGTTTGTTCAAACAATAACAAATGAGGGGAGGGATGGGGTTATATTTCAAAGCTATTTACTTGAGAGCTATGTTTTCCTTTATTTGTTTTTCAGTTCAGATATCTCATCAGGTTTATGGTATGCCTGATATATAATTGAGTATAATCGGCATGGTAGTGAAAGCTAATCCGGTGCCTCATAATAATGTCTCCCAGGGGCAGCATATATTGTGAACAGCAAAGGGCCAGTTGATCGTTGAGGCACTCCATACTTCACTGGCCTGACCTGTGATGAAGCTGGAGAGGAATTTAAAGGAAAGTGTCTCATGTAGGTTATCTTATTGTATTTTTATTTTTGCTAAATATATACAGTAGTTAATGCAATTGTCTGAGCGTACAGTCAAGGTAAAGTGAACACAAAAATACAACAGACATTTATATTATATATATATTTTCAATAATACATTTATATCATTTTATTCTTTTCTACTGATATTTCATTTTACAAAGTAACTGCTGTACCATGCCCAATAGTTTAATAGTTTTTTAAATGTTTTTTTTTTTTTTTTTATGTGGACCAACACATCAAATCAAATATACTGTTTTACAAAACTTTATTTCCCATAATTGTGTCATATATGGGCAGCACAGTGGTGCAGTGGGTAGCACAATCAACCCAAAGCAAGAAGTTTGCTGGGTTGAGCCTGGCAGAGTCAGTTGGCATTTCTGTGTGGAGTTTGCATATTCTCCTCGTGTTCACATGGGTTTCCTAGGGGTGCTCCGTTTTTCCTCACAAGTCCAAAAACGTGGTATAGATGAATTGGGTAAGCTAAATTGTCCGTAGTGTATGTGTGTAAATGCGTGTGTTTGGATGTTTTCCAGAGATGGGTTGCAGCTGGAAGGGCATCCACTGCAAAAAACATATGATGGATAAGTTGGCGGTCCATTCCGCTGTGGCAACCCCAGATTAATAAAGGGACTAAGCCGAAATTAATGTGTCATATCACAAAAAAATAGGAGAACGTATGGCTTGGTGGCTCAGTGGTTTGCACTATTGCCTCACAGCAAGAAGGTCGCTGGTTCCAGTCCAGTGTTTCTGTGGAGTTTGCATGTTCTTCCCATGTTAGCATGGGTTTTCTCCGGGTGCTACAGTTTCCCCTTACAGTCCAAAGACATGGTTCCCCTTCGGATGGGGAACTTCAATGCTATAGGGGATTTCGTTCAGAAAGCTAATCATCTGAAAGAGTATGTAAACGGGCCAATGAATTGGCAGCATCAGCTTGCACACCTGATACCTGTTGCAATCAATTTAGCATAAAAGCACAGCCAAAGCAAGATGAGGCATCCTTTTTGCTTCAGAGACTTCTAGATCCTACAGAGAGAGTCGATGAGGGTTCCTTCTGCTGATATCCAGCGATTTTGAGCGCACAGGAGCAGTCTCCTGGTCCAGAGTGTGTACACATGGCGGCAGACAGTCGAGCTGGGCTTCTCCCTTGCCTGGTGTTCTTTGGGTCCAGTCCTCCAGATTGGTTTGTAAATTACACTTTCACCTAAAAGTGCAACAGTAAAAACAGAATTATTAAGGTGTTTAACTTGAGTTGCTTTAAACATTCTCTTATCTTCTCCAATACAATGTACAATGTAAAGTTTCATTAACAAATTTTGTTTAATTTGAAGGACAATAATTGTTTATTTTTCCATACAGTACCTTTGCATATTGGTAAAACCTAATTGATAACAGAAGAGGCAGCATGGTAGTTTAGTGGTTTGCAGTAGTTAGTGAAAAAGCTGGATTCTTAAAAACTTTTAACCCTTAACCCTTTAATATTTCTTGCTTATACCTGTTGTTTTTCAAATTATCACCTAAGAATTATAGGAATTCTATCTGACATTTTTGTCAAAGTTGAGCTATTGACATATTCTTATTAAATAACAATTTATTTGCATTATGGGATGTTTTTTTATTATAAGTTTTTACATTTTAAGAGTTTTTATTTAAAAATCAAATGTTACACATACTGTTTGCTACAGTATATGGAATGCAAAAACTTTGAAGCTTAATGTCTCTAAATCATTCAGATGTAGATAGAACCTTATAAATCGAAGGTGCAGAAATGTTCCTCTATATTTAGTTCACTAAATAAAATCTGTCCACCTTGTCATCTTGTTTTCCACTGTCATATTCAACATTTATGAAAATAAACTAATTATTTATAAGCAAAGAGCTAACATTGTGTAATTTCTTAACTAACCAAAAAGGGCCAGTTAATATTGTTTGAAAGTTTGATAAAATATTTTAAAAAGGACATGCAACGATTGCATACCTTTTGGGGAAATAAACATTTTGTCTATTATTAGATTATTATAAATAGACTTTTTTCATAATCTAAAAAGTTGGGGTGGTAAAGGGAAACATTACCTTTTTGAAAATATAGTTTTTATAAATACACTGCAGTGAAGAAAAAATAAACACAGCCATCAATAAAAAAGCTAGTTTTCTATTGGAGCCAAGAAACAACGTGATGTAACATCATATCTCGCGATAACTGTGTATAAAAAACTATATAAACTGTGGGCTTTTGAACATTGGTTGTTAGAGCTGTAACGATAAACTGCTTCAATTTGAGAACGTCGAAGACCTCAGCTCCTTTTTTTTAAACTTAAGAGACTGTTGAGATTAGACGCAACTTTCCACACCAAAAAGCACGCAGATTATAAAGGGTGACCAAGTTTTGGCTTAACCCTCTCAAGGCAGGCATTGCTGATTTGCAACAGTTAAAAGCATAGACTTTGCTTGTTTCTAAAATTTAATTTGAGCCTGAAAGGGTTAATAATTTTGGTTTTCTGATGAGTGTGCTGTGAGGTAAACCAGATGTCTGAACTCATCTGCAAACATACCTCACCATTAAAATTAACCTTTAAATTGACTGAATACATTTAAAAGAGTAAAAAATAAAGGGATTAATAGTGAAGCTAACTATTTATAAGAAAAGAGGTCTTCCAGGCTGTCAAGGAATGTGCTTGTAATGAATGGCTGTAAATGATGCGCCAACAAATGGCTTTGCATTGTTCACTAATGAATGGCTGTAAATTATATGCGTTTGAAAGAGAGTTACATGCATGGAAACTGAATTACTAGCACTGGAGTGATCGCAAAGTGTGGTTAGAGTGAACACCACGTCTTTGTACTCGCCTGTGGATTGAATAAGACTCTACCAATAGAGGCAGGGAAATTGGTGGGAGGCCTTTAATCTGACCCTAAAAGCAACTACAGAGAGGGCTGGATCTCAACAGACTGGCCTGGCTTAGCCTTGTTACCCTATATGTTTTGTTTATTTGTGTGTGGTCTGGACCAAAGGGAATGGGGATTTTTTTTTTTTTTATTTTTAGAAATGAGATTGAATGAAAATGTAAATGCTGAGAAATTTGTGAACGAGGATGCATGAGGTGAGAGATTTTAAATTTTAAAGAATGAGAAGAGTGTGTGCTTAAGGATATTGAGTGCTAGAGATGTGCGAGAGAAAGTGAGTATTATAATTAAGAGATTAACATACAGATATATTATTAATTGAGTAGAGAATAATTAAAATAGCACATTCTGGGCTGGAGGGACAAAGCAAAAAATGTAGTAAAAGTAATTTTTTGCATGTAAAAAGTTTGTTTTATGTCCCATGACCTGCTTGTGAGGGTAAAGACACTTAAACTGTTCCTCCCAATTAAAATAAGTACAAGTAGATAAGCGAGGTTTTGATTCCAGATAAAAAAAAAAAGAATAGGTTACGTATAAATGATCTGTGTTTGCTCGTTAAAAGACCTTAATAGCGACAAATGTAGTAACTCAGATTTGGAAAGTTTTTGATGATGTAGGATATACAAAGAGCAGATTTAGATTGTAAGAGTGAGTTCTGAATGTGTGGTGACAGTTTAGAGATTTAAAGCGGATTATAGGGAAGAGAAGTGCGCAAGGAAATTCCTGTGGCAACCACTTCAGTGTGTCTGTGAGGCTATAAATTCTGTACTAGTTGACAAGCA